GGAGGTTTGGCACTGCCCCGTTACACCATGTCTGAAGGAGATAAGCACGTCATCCTGCTCATCTACGCCCTCTCACCGAGTGAAAGACGACAGCAGAGTAGCTTCTTTCTAAATCATTGAAATATTCGCTGGTGATTGTTGGTAGCAATGTCAAAAGAGAAATTCGACGAGTGCCTTACCGATGAGGGGCTCCTATAGAGTTTTCCCCAGCCCCTCCTTTCTTCTTCTAAACAACGGGATTCCCAGGAAGGTGAATTTTTTTGAAAAAGGTGGTCCGTGTTGCACAACAGAAAGTGTATATTTATGTTCCACAATTATCTCATAGTTGGGCATTCCGGCGCCTCTCAAAGCTTGCCGATCACTCTCTCGGTGAGAGGGTGGAGACGAGGAAAGATGACGTGTGTTATCTCTCTCCGACGTGACGTAACATGTAGAATAGCTGTGTGCCACACGCCATCCCCCCTCCCTTCCCTCCTCTCAACCACGTTTTTCCCAACATTGGCACTTACTCTCTCAGGAGAGACTTTCAGCTATTTTCTGTGAACCGCTATATTGATTCGCTTATATTGTAGTCCCAAAGATTTTGTATTGCAGTGCCTGTACTCATACATATGCACAGGATATGCTGCCATATGTCAGGTTAGGAAATAATGGTTTCGTATTCTAAGTGAGGCTGTTGTTCCAGACATTTGTAACTACTCTTCCAATCGGGTGAAAGGTGAATAGATTTGTGAAGTTTCTTTTTCGAGTTGTATAATAATGTGTTCCTAATATAAGTCAGTCAGTTGTATGTGTATTTTTGAATGCAATGCGCTATTTAGATCATTGACCTTCTATAGGAACTGTAAAAAGGATGTCGCTTAGCTTCATTGTGATGTTGAAATGTGTTGCATATTTTAAGTTTTGCAATATACAGTAAAATATGAAAGCTATCTCATCAAGCTTATTCTCGAAAAGCATCTGTTCTGCTCAGTGTTCTCCCTCGAAGTTGTTGAAAGAGATCGCCTTCTGCTTTGGATGGTATCCGCGTGCCAAGAGTTGCCTTGTGAGGCTGCGACGCGTGCGGTCGCGACGCGGTTGTGAGCCAACGCAGGTCTTTGCTTGTATTCTACGGGTGCTTATCGATAACGGTTAAGCGGTGGTGCAATCCCTTATCGTTGATAAACTTATCGTCATTAGTGTGTTTTTATACATATCCCTTTATAAGCTCTGAAATGAGAGGATTGCGTTGCAGCGATCCTCTCATTTCAGAGCTAAAAGATGAAGCACGACGCTAAGCAATCTATTTTCGAACATCCCCGCATAAATTTCCAACACCTGGAAGTGGAAGACTTGGTTGGCTAATGGCGAAATCAGTCCGGAATTTGATCCCCGGGCCACATGCGCGG